TTAGAGTTCAGTTTGGGTGCGGAGAAGATCCTAGCCGAGGCTTTGAAGTCTGACGCGGTAAATGGCCAACTGATGAGTCCTGCTAACCAGGATTCGGTTGAATCGAAAGGTTAATATTTTAGATCATAAATGTATGCGCGGGAACCATTAATTTTTCTAATTTTCAGACACCGTCTTTCAACCTCCAAGCGATCCCTCTCACGCCGACTCGAATTCGACGGTAAGTACTGTTTTCAGATCTTTGGCGAAAATCACTCCCGTGACCATTGATAGCTTTTCAGGGGTCCATCCGGGATAACCTTGACGTGAAGATCGAACTGTTGTTGCGAGAATGGCAACAATCAAGTGACGTATTGTTTGCCGTTCACCCTCTGGACGGTAGCCTTCTCATATGGTATGGCTTCTTTTGCTTTTTGACCATGCGGATCACCTCTACTTTATTGTGTTGTCTGTTTTGAGGTCGGTCAGCTTTTTGGACAATGGTAACACAATGGCACAGACGTGTCTCACCTCTCGTCTGCCGGGCGTATTCCCGATGACTGACGCCGCTTCTATGTGCAGTAATTTGGCTGTGCTGAACCCCCGAGATCCGCTTTACGTCGAAGTTCTGCAAAAAGGTGCATTTATAACAGATGTGATTTGATTCTCTGAACTACATCTTATCATAGTAACAGTTCTGTTGACACTGTGAAAGCGGTTGCGTAAATATTTCTAGTGTTATTTTTTGCATGAAATACTCCTTGCGTTGATTTTATTCCTCTGTCGATTGGTTTAAGCGTCAGGCACACGTTAGCATAGCCATACTATGGCATGAGTTCTTTCTCTGTGTTAGAAACTCATCGCATTATATATTCTCTTGTTTTAAAGTGAGCTTAGCGCTTTTTCGACTCACTGGAAGGTATGAATTTGGGCTTTAAGTTAGGGTAGTGGCGAAGTTCGTTATTAGGCTGCGTTGCATTCTAGTATACTGGTTCAGACGTAACGCGTGGTGTAAATTTTCTCTTATTAGCTGCTCATTTTGTTGAGCAAGCAATTAACTTCACGATGCTAAGGTGCAACAACCCGAAAAACGTGTTGATCTGCGAATAATAGAGACAGCGCGGTGTTTTGGTGTGGTTATGCCAAACTGTCTGGGACACACGGTCATGTTGTGTCTGATGCGTGCTCTTTACGGATGCATTTCGCCTTGAAGCTGACTAAAAATCAGCACAAGATATAAACGTCAATTTAAATGTAAATTTAAATTCAAATTCGTAAAAGTTTAGTTAACTTACATTAGCAGCTTCTAGAAAATGGAAGAGTCATAGTCCCGGACCGAATTTTTATACAATTATGGAAA